AAAGTGGGACGGCAGATGACATCAAGGCTAAAGAGGGGCACAGAATGGATGACTCAAGCCACGAACACCATCAACGAGTGCTGCCAGATACAAGACATCAGGAGAGGCAGGGATTGGGTTGTGGTCGATGATGAACTCGGAGAGTATACAACAGTGAAGGCAACATTGGGTAGAGAATGTCGCAACTGGCCACTTGGAGCTACAGACGCTGAAATTGAAACCCTGATAGAATAGCATAGCGAACATGGGGATGCTGTGATCTCCACGGATGGATCAGTCAACAGAGGAGTCAAATCGGGCTGGGCCTTCAGTGTCAGAGTTGATGGGGTAGTAATGAAAGAGCAAAGTGGAGCAACTGCACTGACAACATCAAGTATGTGTATGGAGATAAAAGCCAAAAGTGAAGCTCTACACTGGATCAAGAACACAAGCCATCAGCGTGCAGTAATCATTACTGACTCAATGAGCACACTACATAAGGTACAGAAAGGGATGCTGTGTGTGGACTGGAAGGCAACGATCAGGGAGAGCAGCCTGGAAAGAGTGGCCTGGATCTTCTGCCCGGGTCATGCGGGGGTAAACGGCAACGAGAGAGCATACAAGCTGGCTGGAGAAGCAAACGTGGGAGGGAATTTGACACTGGACTCACCAACCGTCCTAACCGCTGTAAGGGAAAATTTGAGGAGGAATAGGGCAGATAGCGGTTCTCACACTCTAGGGAGATTGAAGGAGAAGGGGATCCAAAGAGGAGAGGGGAAACACAGCCATCTGTGCGGACCAGTCCGACGGATCTCCAACCAGATCGTGTTGGAGACTAAGTAGACAGACTCTGGGATGGATCCTGAAGAGGTGGGGAGAGCAGAGATGGACATGTTCCGACTGCAGTGACCCCAACACAGTGGACAAATAAGACAAGTGAGTAGGGTAACTACTAAAACGACGACCTCGAGATCGACCCCCCACCCTATGTGAGTGTATTTGTATGTGTGTGTGTGTGTGTGTGTGTGTGTGTGTGTGTGTGTGTGTGTGTGTGTCTAAAGTAACAATTTCCTTGTGTTCACACAGGACCAGGCCAGATCCCGTTATCCCGAGCAGACAGCCTGTCCGGGGACGAGTACGCGTCCCTGACCAGCCAAGGGTCGCCCCTCCCCATCCGCCGCGCGGCTTCCACTCAAACGCCTGCTCTCCCACCGCGCCTATCTCGCCACGCCTCCTCTGAGAACGCCCCTTTCTTGTACAGCTATCAGCACGAATCTCATCCCGACCTCGCTGGCCGCGTATTGGCCGGGGGCGGGGCTGTGGGCGGAGCGAGCGGAACTGTGGCGGGCGGGATGCCTCTATCTACCTCACAGACTTCGCTCCCTTTAGCTAAACACAGTGGTGAGACTTCCTCCTCTTCCAGAGCCACGGCCGGACGCTTGCGTGACCTTCACCTCATGCGCAAACCATTACACATCCCATACAGTGAGTTTGAGCCCTACAAAGCTGACATGCGCAAACGCGTTGAATTAGCGCGTGCAAACGGGCTGGACGGACTCCTCAGCGTTCATATCATGTCCGGGCAGGGTCTGAAATCTTCCAAAACGAGCCTGAGAGACCTTTACTGCGTCGTTGCTGTAGATTCACTGAACAAAGCGCGCACAATGATCCGCACGGGGGCTATCAACTTCGACTGGGATGAAGCTTTCGACATCGAGGTGGAGGACTCTAAGGAAGTTTCTTTCCTCATCTACCATTGGGATCCTAACTATAAGCATAGGCTTTGCTTCCACGGGTCTGTTCTCCTACCGGGCTATGTCCACGGGGGTCACAAACGATACGTTGCCATCAAACTAGAGCCAAAGGGAATCTTATTTGTGACTCTTCTGTACAAAGAGCCAGCCGTATCGCTACAGCGCTTGCCCTCTCTCAAGAAAAACGCCATGTTTGGAGTGGAACTGGAGGCCATTATTGCCAGGGAGAGTTCGGGCTTGAACGTGCCCCTTTTGGTACATAAGTGTGTTCACGAGGTAGAGCGCCGAGGATTGGATACGGTAGGTATCTACCGCCTGTGTGGCTCGGCTCGTCGCAAGGCTATGTTGAGAGAAGCTTTTGAGAGCAACGCACAGGCTGTGGATCTTTCTCCAGACAATGTCTCCGACATTCACGTCATCACAGGTAGGCGCTATGTACATCTATATTTCATTAAGACTGGAGCTTTCATATTACGTGTAATAACCTAAATCTCTTCATATTATTTCTCTTTCAAATTCGACCCTTCGTTGTCCTTTTTTGTGGTTTGTTTGTTTAATGGGGATTGTCTTCTGTTTTTAGTGACTTGTTATTTCCTTGTTGCAGTTTTAAAAAAGCAATTTGGGTTTGTTTTGTTTTTCATTTCTTCTTTTTTTTCTTCTTCTTCTTCCTCTTTTTTTGCTATTGTGTGTGTGTGTGTGTGTGTGTGTATGTGTGTGTGTGTGTGT